TTCGGGTATCCATATGCCTCTCCTCCAACTGCTGCAGATGTTGTGTGGTGTTCTGGGTACACAGGACTTGCAAAAACCAGGCCAGGAAGTTTTATTTAAAACAAAACAAAAGCAAGGATTTTTTTATGTGGAGTTTATATGGGATTGCTGGCTTTAAAAGCTTTCTTCCAATAGCAAAACTGTACCAGGCTATGATACCCCTCCCCACAAGCAGCTCTGTTCTTAGCTTCCATCTCTGCGTAGCAGCTATGCAGTTTTCTTATTGAACAGCAAAACAATTGCCTGCAAGTGTCCATATTCCATTAAGCATATGGAAAAGTATTCAGCCCTTTGTTTTCCACTGAATGAATATATTTACCACATAAGTATTAATTTAGACTAGTCATGGGACATTAGCGCTGGTTAATTGTCCCCATTTTTCCAAGCTTTATTTAACCAGTAGAGATTATTTAGAAATATGCAACTTATTTAACTGTTGCATTCATTGCTGGGTGCTCCTTGCATGCTCCATTGCATGCAGCAGCAGGGAGATGGTGTCACATCTCTACCATGCAAGATTTTTGGATTGCTGGTGCTTGACCACAGGGGGAGAGCAAGATGAGAAAGTCACCCCAAGGGTGACTCATAGCAGCCAGCACTGGTTTTGCCAGTCCCCAAGAGATTTCCCTTCCCAGGAGCCCAGCCCAGCTCCTCAGAGACAATGCTGCTCCTCCACCATGGGCCCACAAGGATCCTTTCTCAGGACTGCTTCCAGCTGTGATGCACTGAGCACAGTGCACACACCCCTATGAGCAGTGGCATTAGAGGCAACTGCCTGCCAGCCTCCAAGACACACACAGGGGGACACTGCTCTGCCTCACTGAAAACTATGGGCTGAATGTTTTTGCCTTGCTTTCCAAAGAAAAACTACCAGCATCTTCCCCAAGACATTGGGATGAGACTGTAGAGCTTCAAACAAGCTCCTTTCAGCAAAACCCAGGCGGCAGGAAAATTAAGCAAATTTCTTTTTCCTAATGAAGTACAATTAATGGGTGACCAGTTCCTGAGAAACCACCAAGAATCAACTAGTGTCCTACCAGCAGTGTGTGTCACATTTCAAACACCAGTAGCTATCCTTGAGCTGGTGGTGCTCCTCCGCTGCTGTGCGTACCCACTGCCTGACAGTCCTGTTCTGCAGGGGGCTGGAGCCAGGTAAATAGTGCAAGGATTTCTGCTTTCCAAGGGGAGTTATCCACTGCACCAGTAAAAGCCTGCTCTGCAAGGCCTTTAGCAGTGTGCATGCACCCAGCATCACCAGGAGGCTCTGCAGCCCTTAGATGGATCAGGTGATGTCTCCCTCACTGTAGTGTCTCCCTCTGTTAGAGAGCAGGGAAAGGAGAGCCTCTCCTGCATGGGGGGAAGAAATTAATCCAGGCTCACGTGCTTCGTCAGAGATGCAAATTGCACTGTAAGTCCTGAGCATTAATTATAGAGCCTGAGCTTCTCAACAGAGCCGCAGGGAAAACAGGCCCCCGGCTCCCATTAAATTTAATGGCGTTTGGACACCCAATTCCCTTAGCCTATTTGAAAACCAGAATCCCAGTTTCTTCAGAAATATATGTGGTCAAGTGAAATCCCTCATCCCACTGCAGACAGCGAGATTTTTACAACATTGGCTTCAGCAAAGCCATCAGCTCTCCCCCAGTCAGTGGGGTGCTTTCCTTATGCCATCGCAGGATCCAGGGAAGGAGTGAGGAGTGATGCAGGGATAGCAAAGGTCTGAGCAAGAAACTCTGGACACACTGAGAAACCCAGATCTGGCACCACGGCACCATTGCACAGGCTGGTTCACCACAGCAAGCTGGTGATTGTCCTGCTGTGGGGTTTGGGGCGCGGGGGTGAGGAGCCACGCTTGTCCAGGAGGTGAGTTGCATGTTGGGTAGAGCTGCCCAGTGTCCCTTCATCTCTCATCTGTTTAAGTCACTTCCTCTAAAAAGCATCAGCTAATTGTTCTCCTTTGCCAGGAGCAGACCTGTGAATCTATGGCTGCCTCCCACTTTGTATTTGCAGAGTGCAAATGGAATGGCACAACATGGGACTTGGGGATTAGATGAGAAATAATGCCAGTGACACAAGTGGGAAAAAAAATGTGGGGAAAAATCAGACTTTTGGGGAGTTAGGAGCACAGCATCCCTCTGGCCAACTGAGCCGTTCTTGGTATACAGCTACTGGAAGCCACACTTTTGGGACAGGCTGCAGCATGGGATGATGCTTTGCTGGAATTGTAGTTGTACAATGGTGAGAAGTGATCCCTGCCTGGGAGGGCTTACAGGAGCCAGACCTGGTTGAGAACACTTCTGTCCCAGTCCACCGATGGAGAGATGGAGCAAGGAGAGGCTTTAAGCAGAGCCGTAAGGAGAAGCCTGTTCTCCACCCCAGTCTTTCTGCATGGGGCCAGCTTCGTATTAAAACACCACACAGATCTCCAGCTGGATGCATTTTGGGTGAATTCTTGATCTCTTTCCCAGTGTTACCTTTTTGGCCAGGGTGGAGTTTTCCTCTTCTGAGAGACTCCAGCATTTCTGCCCAATTTAGCATGGAGAAAATGAACAGCAAACCCTTCATATTGTTATACGCATTTTAGATGTCGGCCTCACAGTTTGATCAGCAGAGGCTCCGAAGGCTCATAAACCTGGTAATACATAGTTTCAAGACTGCATCAAAGAAGTTCACAACCCTTTTGGGAGAAGCTGTGAGTACTGATGAAAGAGGGAACTTATTGTATATGTAAGAAAACTTCTTTCATGGCTTATGTATTAAGGCAGGCTCTGTGGCCCAAGGAAGATTGGGGCTGCTTTTAATTTACATCCCCCCTCACTTATATTAAGGCTTCATCAGAAGAAAAATTAGTCAGATGTTTTCTTAATGACATCATTTTTTTTAATCCTGTTTCATTTTTTCCAGATGAGGCGGTGGAGATTATTAGAAATGAATTGAAACTAAATCTGGAACAGAGACTTTGATTCACTTCTCCCTCCTCCCCGGTAGAAATAAATTGGTCGGCTCCGTGCTCAGCTGCATTTATTAGCAGCCTCGACAGAAACCAGCCCCGGCGGCCTTGGCTGCAGCTTTCCCGAGCTTTGCCACCGCGGTGGCTGACGTCATGGCGAGAGGCACCAGAGAGGGGCTTGGGTCGCCCCATAATTTTGGCAATGAAAGGCCATGGCAACGCAGGTGGGGAGGTTGTGAGGTCTGAAGTAGCCATGCCATCATAAGTTTGTCTTTCAGTGCCATGAAAGAAAACAGGCTTGATGCTCATGGCTGCTACTCTAGTGAAACCTCAGTCTGAGTCCAACAAGCACTTGTGTTGTGCTGGGTGTGTGTTTCCACTAGTCCTTTACATCTGATAGGTTTTCACTGCCTTGTATTTCACACCAGTGAGCCACAGAGTGTACTGCTACAGGAAAGTACCTTGAAATGTAAATATTTTAAAAGGCATTTAATTTACTACCCATCAGCAGAAAGTCTTCAAAAAGCCACAAGGTTTACTAATTTATCAGAAAGACAGAGAAACACAAAGAAGATCAAAGAAAGACAAACATGCTCGTAAACTGCTGAATAAGTCTGCAAAGCTTGTATTACATTTCTGTGTGGTTTTGTTGATATGTAGGTATTACAAATAATTTAAAATACACCTGAAGTGTTGATAAGGCAGGGTGGGACTGAGATCCTGAAGTGCAGGTGGCATGTCTAAACTGCTCAGACCCTTGTGTTTGTGGTTGTCTGTGAATGGAGACACAGATCTTACATGCACTCACTAATGGCATATTTGGATATTCTTAGGGAAGGACCTTTATAATACCATCCCTTAGCTCAGCTCACATCCCAGATCCCTGACCTCCAAAACCCTGAATCCCCATGGTCTCCTGTGCACGGGGTGCAGCCCATGAGGTGCACATCTATCTCCCTCAGCTTTGCCAAAGCACCCAGCCAGGCACAAACACCATCCCTGCTGTGACCTGTGTCTGCCACCAGCTTCACTTCTAGCAGTCTGTGAGTACAGAGAGAGCTAATGCAAAGCAGATTTTGCTCTTTTGTTTTGCCTAATGACAGCTCTGACTCTTTTGGCATCTATCTCAGATTTTCTACTTCTCAGGTCAGGGCGTGTAACATTTTCTGCTCTCTTTGCACCCTCTGTGATTTACCTAAGAGGCTGGAAGGTATATTCGGGAGATGTCCGCACACTTTCTCTTCCATCCTTGCTCACCCTGCAAAAACTGCTTAAGTGCCAAAACATGCCTGTGACTTTCTTTTTTTGTTACCTGCTCAGTATTTACTGACTTCTTTCCCAAGTAGCACTTGGCCTGAGGAAGATCTGAGGGATTTAACAAAGGTGGCCCCCAGAAAGCATGCAATAAAACCTCTCATGAACTTTTGCCCTCTGAACTGTACCTCCAACCTGTCAAGGAGGTTTGTGTAAGCCATGATGAACGCAGGCAAGGAGGGCTGCTCTGCTGGCGCTGGCTGAGCCACACATGCTGAGCCAAGCAAAGCACCGCTTGCTTCGAGATCATATAAGTACTTCTTGCACCGTTTACGTCCTCTCATAGGCAGCCCTGGCTGGGGCTTTGTCTGCATATGGCAGCACTAAGCATCTGGGTACCAGGGGCAGCGATGAGCTTGCAAACCCTGGGTTTGCCTCAGACATCTTCGTGCAGCCAGCCTCCCTGTGTGAGGAGATGAAGGGAGATCTCTAGCATGGAATGTGCTCTGCACTGCCCCTTTTCACAGCAGCCCAGAGATTCCACTAATACATGTTTAGTGCAGTATGGGTGCAGGTCCACAGGAAGCTTGCACTGGCTTCGGGCTCCATGTATGTATGCCAAGAGGGTAGTTTTTTCCCAGCTGAACTCCTCCCTCAAAGGCGAAGGCAGTGGGGTGAGAGGCAGGAGGGTGGCAGGTGGCTGTGTCACCCGGGTGGCTGTGAGTGACGGCGTTTCTCTTTCCTTCCCAGGCCTCCTCCTCTGAGCGGCAGCCCTGTCATCTCTGACATCTCCCTCATTCGCCTGTCTCCACACCCTGCTGGGCCCAGCGAGTCACCCTTCAGCCCGCCGCACCCCTACGTGGCACCCCACATGGAGCACTACCTCCGCTCCGTCCACGGCAGCCCCACACTCTCCGTCATCTCCGCTGCCAGGGGCCTCAGCCCTGCTGACGGTAAGACACTGTGCTACCGGTACTGCAGCGATTTTGTAGCTCACCAGCACTGAAATCCCCCAAACCCTGGGGATTTACAGCTGCAAAGGCTCTGCAGCTGCTCTCTGAAGTGGGAGAGCTGTCTCTTTCTTTTTTCTTTTTTTTTCCCCCCTTTAACTACACATTTGTTTTGCATCATTGCACTGAGAAAGCAGAGCGTGAGAATAGCTATTACCACTGGATCATATTATAAATATTTTGCTTAAAGTACGTTCCTGTCTACAGCACTCTCGGCTCTCTTAGGAGCTTGCCTGCTCTTACGTCTCCATTGGGAGCCCTGCTTTCCCCAAGGAGGGTCACATCTCTCCAGCTGCCTGGCCTGGCTGGGACTGATGTTGCCAAGACGAGGCAATACTGGCTGGGTTATCCCCTATTGGCTTTGTGTCTTGGGGCAGGATGGCTCCTGGGTGAAGGAAAGGAGCTGTACTTTATTCCTCCTTATTCCTGAGCTGCCCTGCAGCAGTTCTGGGGGGAGCTGGCACTGGTTGCATGCACAGGTGGTGATGCTCTCCAAGCCCTGGCAGACACTGTGTTGGGGAGCAGGGGACAAAAATGGCCGAGCAGGGAAAGGGGAAAACACACAACATTACTTTCACTTGGGGAGGTGCAAGTCACACCTAACTTCATCAGAAGTGCTTCATTACACAGTTGCAGGCGGCAGGCTTAGTGCCCCGGGAGCAGCCAGGGTTTGGGACCCCGTTTCTGCACAGCAAGCAAACCCCAGCATCTCCTGGCTCCTGATCTGCTGCAGGGGCAAGTGGCCTGTCTCCACTGCAAAGCAAAACACACCAGAGAGTGCCAAGGCCCCCGGCTTAGAGTCTGGCAGCAGAAAACCCATCTTCAGTGTCTATAAAAACAACCCTAGTGATGGGGAGATGCATGCGTCTTCTTCCCTCCCACAGAATGTCATCTGAACCCCGAGCTGCCTGCCACGGAGAGGAAAAAAAAGGAGAGGTCGGACGGCTGGTGTGCGTGTGCTCTGCCCCGTCCCTCTCCTTCCAAAACCAGTTTCATTGTTTGCTGTAAAAAAAGAGGCATTGTGTTTTGTGTTACTTTTCTTTTTTCTTTTACTTTTATTCTTTTCTTTTTTTTTTTTTTTTTTTCTGTCTTTTTGGCAAGCGGGTGGGGAGGCAGGTTTGAAAAATTACAGCTGGGAGAAAGTGAGCGTAATTGGCTTTGGCAGCCAAAATGGTTTTATGCTGCCAGACACTAAACCTAGCTCTATGCATTAGACCTTGGCTTTAATTTCCTCACGCTGCTATCGGGAACTGGGCTGCATTTGTCTTTCCTTCCTAATAGGCAGGGATGTTAATGCTGACAGGGTTACTGCTGCCGGCGGG